GCTAAAAAAGATCAACAATGTCAGCGGGAAGATATCTCTAAAAATAATTGTGAAAAAGTGTCCCCACTACTTATGACATGTATTCTAACAAGGGATTAGACCATTGTGATCTGCATGTACATTGTGTAATGTTTGAAATGATTGGAAGATTTTTTGTAGCAAATGGTGTAAATGTTTATTAAAAAAAAAAAGGCTCCAAAAATTTGGCGAAATGACAGGAGAAAATAAATATATTTTACTACATGTAATGGGGTAGATTTACTAAAGGCACATAGAGTGCGCACTTTTGCAAGTGAAGTTACTCCAGAGCTTAGTAAATGAAGGGGAGCTCTGATGTGTTTTTTTTTCCTTGCATGTGATTGGGTATTCTTTGTAAAGTGAAGCTTTACCTCATGTACTACGCTCTGGAGCAACTTGCAAATTGAACAATCTATCTGCCTTAAAGTAGAACTACAGGCGGACCTTGGTTTAAGAATTTAATGCGTTCTGCAGGACTTTTCGTATTGCGAGAAATTGTAAACCGAAATGCGGTTTCCCATAGGAATGCATTGAAAACCAATTAATCCGTTCCGAAGGTCAGAAAAAAGTAAAAGAAAAAGTCTTTTATCTGTTCAAAGCTCTTTATAAAGTGCACTTTAAAGGCATAAATACTGTACAAGGACATGATTAAAAATTAATTCGTAAATGCATTGAAAACCAATTAATCTGTTCGTATTGCAGAAAAAATTCATAAACCGAGCCATTATTTTCAATGGATTTTCATTCGTAAACCAAAAATTACGTTAACCAAGGTGATCATAAACCGAGGTACACCTGTATAGGCAAAACATTGTTTTATAATTTTGGACAGACTAAGGGAGGCTTATAATCCCTGTCAATTTTATTTATTTATTTATTTATTTATTGTCATCTGCGTCCCCATTGGAAGATGTCCCCTCCATTACTTTTCTGGAGACAACCCAAAGCTTGTGATTTTCATTTGCTTTTACTTTCACATTCAATGATAATGGTTAATAGGATGAATGGAGAGGGTGAATCTTCCTAATGGGGACACAAACAGAAATAAAAACCTGGCAGGTATTCTAATCCCTCTTGACTCTATCCAAAACTAAAAAAAGTTTTTTTTTTTAGTAAATCAACCTTAATGATTTCCATGTTTCCATATTTAGGTTTCTATACATTACTGTTGAGAGAACTGATCCAAAAAAAAGAGACTACTCAAAATCGCCTATTATATTTTTACATTTCTTAAATACTGCATGCCTGGACCACTGCCTCATTACCGCATGCATTACATTTTTATTTCCTTCTGTGAATTGAGTTAACACCCTTTCATGTAATATTTACAGAGTGTTTTTTAAAGCGGTTTGCTGAAAGTACCGCAAAACCGTATAGTGATTTGACAGTTTCAGGATCGCATGTGATATTTAGGTAAAATGTGAATGGAGCCCAGTTTGGAATCTGCATCCCAAAATTAGTAAAAATCAGCTAAAAATTCCCACTTTATGGTTTAAAAAACAAATGTGAAAGCCTGTGTTATCTGTCATATTTATTGTTACTCCTACTGCACAATAGCACTTCTACTCTCTGTGCAGGGTAATATTCTCAGTATCAGTTCTCATTTTGCAAACGTGGACACTACATGGCGCAATCTTTCCTTCCAAATTAAGAACATGAGACAGCAGGATAGCTCAGTGAGGGAATGACATCCACCATAATGAAAAGTGAAATATTTGTGTGGCTACTTTGAACTAAACATTGGGCACAGCTTAAGACAGCCTTTCTCAACCTGTCCAACGCAGAGGAACCCTTGACATAACTTTCCGGTCTCAGGGAACCCCTGCTAAAATTACTTTATCTCCAACTCATGATACATTAGTGTGATAGTCAGAGGTAAGAATGCTCCTTACACTTGTGGTCATTGGGAAGAATTACCCCATTACAGATTGCTAAAAAGATCAATGGTGGCAGTGGGAACTTACCTGAGAGGCAAAAATTGCTCATTGCTCAAGGAACCCCTGGCAACCTCTGGAGGAACCCTGGTTGAGAAACCCTGGCTTAAGAGATTGATGACGCTAGTGCACATGCTCTTAGAGTAAAGTTTCCATTTGTCCCACTTCTCAGAGACAGTCCTCCTTTTGAATAGTCTATCCCCAGCAAACAAATGTCTCCAGCAGCAGTCATAAGTCCAGACTTGTATGCTTGCTTTTCTTTAATATCCCAAAGGATTGAGTATAAGACAGCCTGGCAATTTGCATTTTTAGAAGGAGGTCACAAGTGACAGACTCTCCTTCTGTAATTAAGGTTTATTTTAACAAGGAATACATTTTTGTAGGCTTACGCAGAGAAGAGTGGGAGAATAGTGGGGAGCTTTGCACCTCTGGCCTGCTGTTGATCTGCTTGCAACCGCTACTTTGGACACTAAGGATGCTTTCACACTGCTCTGTTGAAAAAAACGGTTAAAAACACACATGCGTTTTTAATGCGTTTCCAGTGTGTGTTCTGGGTGACATGCACCTGTGAAATATGGACATGTGACTCAAAAAACACACCAAAAACGCAATTGTGTGTTTTTGATGCATTTTTCCATCCATTTCACTGGGGAGCTGCATCTTTGGTGTGGTTTGGAAAAATGCACCAAAGATGCAGTATGCAGGACTTTCCAAAATGCAGCGCATTGGTGTGATGAATCCCATAGGATTTAAAGGGAAATGTTTTTCGTGCATTTTTAGCATGGTAAAAATGCAGCAAAAACCCATCAGTGTGAATGCACCCTAACTTTCTCACCCTGACCTGTACTTTGCCTGAGGACTCAAACTTTTTTTGATGCACTTATTCTCACTGATCTTCTTTCTCACTGACTTTTTGAAGCAGCCCCCTTTCACACGAGTGGACCGATTGGGTCCGCCTGAAAAACTGACCTTCCTTTCTCCTCTATTGAGTGGCGGGTGTAAACAGACATGTCTGTTTACACCTGCCTACATCCAATCTGATCTGATCCACTAAAAACAAACAGCTGGGGATCTGTTCCCCCTCCGTCTAGCAAACCAGATGGCAGTTGTGTGTAAACTGACAGGCGGGCCGTTAACCGCTTCTCCACCCCCCTATAGCAGATACAGTATACTGCTACAGGGTGGCAGGGGTGCGAAAAATCAGGGTGTATATATATATATATATATATATATATATGGGATTTTTCATTTCCAGGTAGAGGACGTGCACGAGCCCAACCTGCGCCGCCATTTGCAGCTGTCAATCACCGGGTCCCAGCTGGTGATTCCCAGCTGGCACCCCATGATTACAGAGGATATCCAATGGGGAGGAGGGGGCTGCTTTGTTTACTAACAGTCTTCCTTCCTGTCGGCTCACACACACTGCTTTGGATGGCTGTGTACAGCACAGCCATTCATAGCAGTGTGCTTACAGTGAAGCACACTGACACGGCCCCCTAGTAAACCACTCCCAGCACACAGTTAACCCTTTGATCACCCCTTATGTTAACCCCTTCCTGCCCAGTGCCATTAATACAGTGTCAGTGATTTTTCTTAGCACTGATCACTATTGGTGTCACTGAGGATGTCAGTGACACCAAGTCAGTTCCCCCCAGTATCAGAATGCCTGCCGCAGTCCTGCTATGTCGCTGATCGCCGCCATTACTAGTGGAAAAAAATGCCAGTATATATATACTGCCATTTGTAAACGCTATAACTTTCACGTAAACCAATTAATTTACATGTATTGGGATTTTTTTTTTTAGCAAAGACATGTAGCAGAATACATTTTGGCCTAAATTTATGATGAAATTTGATTTATTTTATTTTTTTTTACTGGACATGTTTAATAGCAAAAAGTCAAAATATTGTTTTTTTTCTCAAAATTGTTGGGTTTTTTTTCTTTATAGCGCAAAAAATAAAAAATGCACATGTGATCAAATACCATTGAAAGAAAGCTCAATTCATAGGAGAAAAAGGATGTAAATTTAATTTGGGTGCAGTGTTGCATGACCGCACAACTGTCAGTTAAAATAACGCAGGGCCATAACGCAAAAAATGGCCTGATCAGGAAGGGGGGTAAATCCTCAGGAGGGCAAGTGGTTAACATCTGACCGCCCATAGAGGAGTGCTGGGTGTTTCTGTGTCTGCTCTGCATAAGGACAGATAAGTGGACAAATCCCCCACTAAGCAAGCGGACCCCTGGCGGAGTATGCCACATGTGGAAGGGGCCTTAATTGGATGTATGATATTTTTTTTTTCATTTTATAATTTTTGGTACATGACCAAATTTTGGAAAAGTTCTAGAATCATGATCCTGAGTAAAGTTTTTTTTTCTGCCACTCTTCAATCGTACGTTCCAGCAAAGATATTAATGGTGCATTTTCATATAATCAAAAAAGGGATTATTCAGACCTGATCAAGTCTCTAGTTAATTTTTTGCTCTTGAATTGTATGTCTTACATAGTTCTGGCAAGTGATGTATGATAATGACAAATAGAGGTTAATTTACTAAAAGAAATCAGGCTGGTAAATTTGCAAGGGAATTTGCCCCAGTGCTTAGTGAATGATGAGGTTTCATTTTGCAATAAATACAAAATGTAATGCAAAAGAAAATAAGAAAAAAAAAATTCTTGCTTGCACCTGATGGATGATCAAAGTCAATAAAGCTTCACTTCATTCACTAAACTCTGGGGCCAATTCCCTTGCAAACCGCAGCTTGCCGTGAAAAGTGAACAGCCTATTCGCCTTTAATAAATCAACCTCAAATAGAGGCCAATTTACAAAAAGTCTTCTCTTAATAAATTGTGTGAATATTCACTACAATTTTCCAGTCATCTGAAAAGCAAACGGGTTAACAGGAATTTGCTTTTGACATGATTGAATATTGGAAGTGCAGTTTCATGCAATTTGTTGAGTGAAAATTGTCAACTCTTTTCTTATGTTGTTACATAAAAACTAACCATTTGCAGGATTTTATTTCTGTCTGATTTCTCTGTTGGCTACAGGATGGAAGCTCTTCTCAACCAATGGCTCTGGAGACAGGAATACTGGCTTCCCCCTGGAGTTACCTGGGAAGACATGAAGGAAACAGAAAATGTCCATTATCCTAGACCTTCTCATCTCTTTTTTGGTATTCCATGTGCACTCATCCTTACTGGTTTGAGATTTATATTTGAAAGGTAAGACCTGCCCAGAAGAATATGCTATCTGTATTTTTACATAGTGGTGATGTGAGATGCTAGAAATCATGGTAATATTTAAAGTATAAGTTCCCTTTTTTAGTTTTTTTTGTGAAAAGGTGAACTGACACTTTAAATAACACCCTACAACCTCCCAAATTCCATGTTCCCCCTTCTTTCCTTAGGGCTTCTGAGGTAGAACAGAGTTGGTCACATGCCAGTACATGACCAATCAGAATTGCTCTGATCAATCCTAGAAGCCCTAAACAAAAGGAGAAGAAGAACAGGGCTTTCAAATCCTCAGATCGATTCACCAGCTGGGTGGGTAGTGACAGCTAATTACCAGCAGAGGTAAGCACTGAGGGGGTGAGTAGGGTGTAGGTTGTCAGATCACCTTTTTATTTTTTGTGAAAAGGTGAATTTACACTTTTAAGGTCTTCTTAAATCTAAACAAATTCCTACAGTCATGGATTTGTGGGTTGAGTTGATAGTCAACAAATGACCATACTTTTTTCTCATGTTATGACCTCTAAACGTATCATACAACACAATCATGCTGGTTAAAGTAGAGTATTTAGTGTAAGCAATATGTAAGGAACCAGCCCAAATAATTATGCTTGCAAGGAATTTGTTCTTCACACTGCTTTACGCTCCATTATTTATCTTTAACTGTGTGAATATTTAACAAGGTCTCATGAGGTGAATTAATACTAACTAGTTAGATTAGAAATTGCCCTCATCCTCTGCTCTACAAGAAAATGTCTCCCAATTTTATTGCCAACACATTTGATTATAAACCACATAAGGAAACTGCTCTGGAAATTGTGGATTCCAGAAAAACATATTCAAAGCGGTGCTGGGAACTTTTAGGCTAGGTTCACACCACATGTGATGGAACTGCACTGGACGATTATTTCAGCGGAGTCCCATCATGTGTCTTCCTAGCTGCCCGGTTCACACCACTGCATTGCAGTGGTGTGCGGGCACTGTGTGCTGAAAAAAAATATGCAGTGCTTTTATTTCAGTGCTGCACAGTGCGAGGCAATCCACTGCTTCTCGCTGCGTGGACGGCAATCAAACTATGAGATGTCTGTGTGGCATCTCAAGGTTTGATAAAAAAAAAAAAAAGGAAAGAGCACAATGCACTGACATTAGCACATCATTACTGCACTGAAATTGGCCCCACCACACCTCACACCAGCTTCTACATTGCAGAGGCTGGTGTGAATGAGCCCCGAGACTTGCAGGTCAGATGAAGGAAAACTTCAAACAAGCTCAATAGCTCTGGCGAGGTGGCTTACATACAGCAAGGCTTTCCTTAATGGCCACCGAATAGTCGCTTAAACCATAGGTATCATGTATGGTAGCCAATCAGCTTCTAACTTTAGCTTGCTCAATTGGGCATTGTCAAAAAACCTGGAAGCTGGTTTCTGTGAAAGTTGCACCAGATTTTGCACTCTTCAGTTTCAGTAAGTAACCCCCATAGTTTTCTTGTTAAGAGGAACTTGACTGGTGTAGGAAACCTCCATGTGGTCAATATTTATAAATCATAGGAAAAGAAAATGTCTTACCCTGCTAATGAAGCACTTAACCATACTGATCATTTATTTTCTATGTTTTTGTTAACCTCTTCCAGGCCGTGCTATAGCCAAAGGACGGCTACAGTGCATCAACCTGTTCTGGGAGGGCGCCTATAGTTCTGGGAGGGTGTATATAGTCCAGCGCACTCTGTGATCGCTGTTTCCTGCTGATCACCGATCACAGTAAAGTTCCAATCTGTGCAGCCTATCAGTGCCCATCAGTGCAGCCTCATCAATGCACATCAGTGAAAGAGAAAAATTACTTATTTGCAACATAACAGAAACAGAAATTGTTTTTTTTCAAAATTTTCTGTCTTTTTTTCGTTTGTTATAAAACCGAGTGGTGATTAAATACCACCAAAAGAAAGCTCTCTCTGTCTCCAAAAAGATAAAAACTTCATATGGGTACAGTGTTGCATGACCATGCAACTGTCATTCAAAGTGTGACAGAGCTGAAAGCTGCAAATTGGCCTGGCCAGGGGGGGTGAAAGTGCTCAGTAGGCAAGTGGCTACTACATTCAGCATGAGAGCATTTGGTGCTTAATAAATATTGTGGATGATAAAGAAACATTGATGGTGCATTTGATGGTACGTTGATTAACATTTTTCAATCTAATTTCCTTTCACATCAATCCCAGTTCCCTGGAAGGCTCATAAAAAAAAAAAAAAGTTAAATCCCCTGACAGGCAGCACTCCCTCACGTGTCAGCAGTGGATTGTTCCTCAGCATCCTCACGTGCAGTGCAGAGCTATGGGCGCTACACTGCTCTTGATAACATAGAGCTAGACCTACCTTAGACTGCAGGGGAGTAGAAGCTGCCAGGATCGGTGTAATAGCACAGAGGAGCCTGCTGAAGCGAAGGATCAAGTAAGAAAAACTGCTTCTTCAAGTCCCCTAGACATAAACAAGCATTTATCCTTTGCAGTGCAGGTGCAACCCCACTGCAATGCAGCATTTTCACTTTACCTGGAGTTCAGCCCTAAAGCAGAGCTCCACCTAGAAGGGGAAGTTCCACTTTAAGGTTTCCCATTAAGGTTTGGCTCCTTTGGGGAGTGGGGGGGTACCCTATTTTGACAGGTACCTGCTCCCACTTCTGCTGCGATTGCCTAGCCGTTTTGAAGCGGTGATTGTCCTTCCTCTCTCCCCATAGTCTTCTGGAACATGTGACAGGTTCCAGACTGTGGGACCATTCACAATGTGCACTGCTGCTTGCGCATGCACAGTGGGCACCAAGCTGTGAAGCCGCAAGCTTTCACAGCAGGGTGCGCACACTGAAGATGCCGGCGCCAGGCACACAGGACAGCCGGTGAACCCGGCCGGTGTGAACACATCGCTGGATCGAGGGACAGGTGAATGTCTGTTTTTTTAAAAGTCAGCGGCAACAGTTTTTGTAGCTGCTAACTTTTATTTTTTTACATTTTGACTGGATCTCCACTTTAAGTGGTCGTAGAGTGTTGTACTATATTAGGTCTCGATTAATGCAGAAAAGTTGAACTTAACTTGAGTTACTAAAGATGCAAGCTTTTGCCATAACTCAAGTCCCTTCATCAAGGTTTATGCACTTCATATTATACATGTATGAGGGGATATGAGTTACCCCGAAAGCTTGCATCTTTAATAACTTAGCCAAGTTAGTCAATAACGGCTAATAATTAAAAATATTTAAACCCAACATTTCATATTCCTGATATGGGCCTGCTGTACCATGTACTTGTATGAGAAAATATCCTGTTCTTACTATACTTAGAACTGCTATGGTACCACATCCTTAAATCTTACAAACTCCAAAACCAACAAAAAACTTGGACTTTACTGGTACATGAGTGGATATATATCAAAAGATTTACAAAAAGACAGCAATATCAATGTTTAGTAAATGTTTAGTAATTCTTTTACAATGGATTTTATGATTTTATTATAGAATAAAGAGCATCAGAGAAATGGTCATAAACAAGAGCACTGACCAACAGAGATAAAAGATACAAGTTTTGTTATGAATAGTACAATACATGCACTGAAATATAGACAAGGAAATTAAACTGAGTACACAAGCGCAGTACATGAAAAGATAGAAAAAAAGCATAATGATTTGCAAAAATAGCAGACAATTTAGAGACCAAGAAATTAGTAAACAAAGATCAAAGGTTATCACAAAATCTGCATACAGAAGGCAAGAAAAATGAAACACAGAGCCTCATTAGATTGGCACACCATACGCAAGACTCCCATGGATGTCTAACAGGTAGATATAATATTGCTGGTGCAGTACTCAAAAAAAAAAAAGTTACAATCAGCGCAAATATCATGAAAACAAACAGAACAGAGAAGACTAAGGGAAGAATGAAGAAAGAAAAGACAAAAGACAAATAAAGGGCTCCAGGGGGTCGCGACGGAAAAAAAACTTATATTGACAACAGGGTCTGGTCAAATCTGGACGGTTGGACTAACAGCATAGCCGTCAGTTTCTCATTAATCATTATAAAATTCATCCAATTTTTGACTGCTTCGACGCTGAGGAGAGGGGTCTTCCAGGCCTTCACAATCGTTAGTTTGGTGGCCATGAATAGGTGTGATGCCAGCTGCCGCTCAGGATGAAGTAGGCCCACTAATGGTTTAAATAATAGCACCTCTTACTGGTTGCACTTAATGTCTGTATGAAACATAGTGCGAAGAAGGGCATAAACCCTGATCTACAGTCTGCAAAACTTAGGGCAAGTCCACCAAATATGGGCCATGGTGCCTACTTGTTGACAACCCCAAAAGCAAGTCGGGGAGTATGCAGGGTAAAACAAGCCAGACGGGAAGGCGTGTAATACCATCTATCGAGGACCTTATAGGCATTTTCTAAAATAAAATTCCTTGAACATTTAGACAAAGCCTGGGTCATGATCTGACAGTCTTGCTGATCCAGACTTCTCCCGAGTTCCGTCTGCCATTGCTGATGATAAGAACGAACCGGGGGTGTTCTATAAGAAATAATGGCGGAGTAGACAAGTGAGATCAAGCCCGGGGCATGGGGTCTATGTCTGCAAAGACTTTCAAAGGGGGTCAGCCTATAGGGTCCCAAATGCACATGTATTAATTTATTGATAAAGTCATGAAGTTGAAGGTAGCCATAGTGCTCCCGCAACGGAATATCATAAGAAGAACGCAGAGTCTCAAAGGTGAGTATCCGGGTTGGAGAGAGCAAAGAATGCACATTGTAGAAGCCATGGGCTAGCACCATGTCAACTGTCCAGGATTGTCAAGGCACGGGGGAAATAATGGGTTAAGGAGAAAACGCAGCAAAGGCAAATGGGCATAAATGAGACCAGCGGAATATTTAATAGAATCCCAAAGTCGAAGCGTGTGCATCAACGTTGGACTAAGAGGTGAAGGGCGATGAATAGGGGGAAGCCACGGTAAAGAAGAGAGTGGTAT